ACACACACACACACACAGAGACGCGTCCACTGACCTGGATGACCCTCATGTTGAGTCCCGTCTCCTGGGCCAACTGCTCACGGATGTGACGTGTGGGTTTGGGCGTGGCGGCGAAGGCAGCCTTGAGGGTCTCCAGCTGTTTGGCCTTGATGGTGGTCCGCGGACCCCGCCTCTTGGCGCCCACCTGACTCGAGCCGTTGTTGGAGCCGCCGTTACCGTTAGCGCCGTTGCTGTTGTTGTTGTTGTTGCTGTTGTTGTTGTTGTTGCCGCCGTTGTTGTTGTCGGGGCTGGGGCAGCTGTCGTTGCTGTTGGCGTCGGGCCCGCCGCCTCGGTCCATGGGTAGGTCGGCGGCCATGTTGGAGCAGTTCGAATCCACGGAGGCGGGGCTGGCGTCTAGGGGCGGGCAGTCTGCACGCTCTTCTTTGATGGTTTGAGCGGGGGGAGGGGGCGGGCTGGAGCCCAGACGAGGGGAGAGGAGAGAGTTGAGGGCGCCGCCGCCCCCGCCTCCGCCCCCACCGCCCCCGTTGGGCAAAGGACCCAACCCCCCACCAGGGTTGTTTCCGACGAGAGCTCCGGGTCCATTTCCCGCGCCGTGAGAGGTCAGCCCAGCGCAGCCGAGAGGGGCCCCACCTAAACTGGCGCCCAGGTGGTTGCTGAGGCTGTTGTTGCTGAGGCTGTTGTTGCTGTTGGCGTTGCCGTTGACGTTGAGGAAACTGTTATTATTATTGTTGTTGTTGTTGTTGTTAGCGTTGTTGTTGTTATTGTTGTTGTTGTTTCCACCCGCGCTCAAGGCGTGAGGAATACTGCCGAGTATCGATTCTTTACTGTCGTGCGGACTGCTCTCTCCGTCCAGGGGAAAGTCCTTGTCCGATATGTTGCATTGAGTATCGATTCCCGAGTCCATATCGCCGTCGTCTTCCACGTCGGAACCTACGAGGGAATAAAAAACAACAACAAAAAGATAAGAATAAAAATTACATTTTGGTGGCACTTGAAAATCTTTGACAGTTACCAAAAACTAAATGAAGTCCGACGTGTACAAACCAATTTACTTTTGGTGTTTTTGTGTGACACACGCAGAGACACACGCACGCACGCAC